CTCTTAACTAGTTTAGAACAACTAACGTGAACTCCGGAATCATTTACTTATGAGGCAACAAAATATGATTTATAGACAAATTTTACATAATATTTGGCGTTTAAATTTTACATTTGACATAAAGGATTTTTTTATTAATAAATTTAAAATCGGCAGAATTTTAAATTTATAACTAATGTGTACCCCGTGCGATGCACGGAAACAATATTAAATCAATAATATTATAAATAGACCTCGAGTTTGAGTCACTCAATGGCGGAGGTGGAAACAATATTAAATCAATAATATTATAAAATTTGGATGTTTAATATTAAAACACCTAAAATATTATATCAGTATATGTAAAAGTATTCAAAATTTTCTATATTATTTTTGAAATATGTGAAGTCACCTACAACTTTTTTAAACAATTTTAGAAGTAAAACACATCTAAAAACATTTGAATTTAACATTGTGTAAAAAAGATTTTTCTAGACTATTTTGTAGAGAAAACATGTCTACAAATATTTAAATTTAACATCAATTATGTATATGTGTGTATATATATACATATGTATAGACGAATATGTAAAAAAATATCTAAACAATTTGTTTAAAGTATCTAAAATGTTATAAGCCTAATTTAATAAAGACATTAAGCCTAATTTAGTAAAGACATTAAGCCTAATTTAATAAAGACATTCAGATGATACCGTATGGGCGTTAGTTCCATCTAACAAAATTTGATTACACACAATTTTAAAATTATTATTATACTAAAATATTAGTAATTAGACCGATGAAAATTATTATCATACTAAAATATTAGTAATTAGACCGATGAAAATTATTATCATACTAAAATATTAGTAATTAGACCGTTGAAAATTAGCAGCGCCGACATGGGTCGTATTTTATTTTTTAAATCTGTATAGATAAGGGATGAGATTTTTTAAACTGCTTATTTTATTTTTTAAATCTGTATAGATAAGGGATGAGATTTTTTAAACTGTGAGACCTATGTAATGGAATTTTGTAAAAGATGAGAGATAAACTCGTGTAGATTTATGCTATGGATAAACTTTGTATAGATTGGAATTGGAAACGATTTTAAAAGCAAAAAAGATCAATTTCAAATGCACGGATTAGAAGGAAAACATATCTAAAAATATTTGAATTTAATATTGTGTAAAAAAAAAAAAATTGAGACTATTTTGTAAAGAAAACATGTCTACAAATATTTAATTTAACATCAATTATGTATATGTATGTATATATAGACGAATATGTAAAAAAATTGTCTAAACAATTTGTTTAAAGTATCTGAAATATTATAAGTCTAATTTAATAAAGACATTCAGATGATACCGACATTATTCCCATCTAACAAAATTTGATTACACAAAATTTCAAAATTATTATTATATTTTTTACGTTGTTATCGAGGATGTATGGTTAGTTTATAATATTTGTACGAATTTGATTACACACGATTTAATTGGATTTGTTGTTGCATGCCGATTTAATTGTGCAAAAATTCTGATATTTTTGTAGGAAAGTTTAGAAAAAAAGCCAATCGGATTTGTTGTTGCACGCCGATTTAATTGTGCACGCTACAGTTTAGGAAACACTGCAATTAAGGAGCCGTTTATTGTGATTATTTACAGTTGTCCACTATTGCTATAATTAGAATATATTTAATGAATTAGGCGGGAAAAACTTGCTAAATTTATAAAAAGGTTATTCTTTTTATATAATGATAGATTGTATAAAAAATTATTATCCTATTTTTTAGCTTCTTATCTTTATGTACATTTTAATTTTCAAAATTGTATGCGAAATTATTGACCTTCTTCTTTGAAACAATTTATGTGTCTTATTTTGTTGGAAACATTTACATATCAATCTGCAAATTTGTTTTAAAAATAGACAATATAAATTTACGATATTAATTTCAAATATGCAAATATGTTTCAAATATGAGCGACAAAAACACATTTATCGTAGAATGATTTTCCATAATCTAAATTTTGGGATATAAAATTGTGGTATTAATTTCAATATGCAAATCTATTATGTATCTATATATATATAAAGAGGTTGTTGGAAAAATACATTAATAGAAAGTTTGACCAAATAAATATAATGCTTGACTTACTATTAATGGAAAGTTCGAAAAAACAGATATGAATCTACAGTAACAAAATCTGAATCCGATTTTTTTGGCAACAAATTTGGAGATTCTTATGGCATAATTTGAATTCTATTTTTTTCGTATCATATTTTATTTTTTTACTAAAATTTAAATCATATCTTTTTTTGTAAGGATTTAGAGATTCTTATGCAAAAAATGTGTCAATTATTTATGAAAATAATTCTAAATACAAATTAATTTAAAAACCTTACAAATTTGGTACAAATTTAAGAAATAAATAGTTGTATAATTCTTAACAATTCTTCCAATATTACTGAATATTTTTTTCTTTCAAAAAAAGTGTGTAAATTGGATAAAACCACGTGCAATTTTTATTTTAAAATAAAATTGATATTTGGACGGGATGCACAATCAAAATTGTGTTCACGTTTTTTGGTAACAAAAGCGGTTTATCTTTGATATTTATAGTCACCTTATCCAATTATTTAGGAAAACTTGTGTGCGACTTTTCAAAATTTGAAGGCATCGATTTTGTTGAATTCTAATGTTTTTTCTTAACCATGTTTTACCGAGATTTTGGTAAGTTCATATCCTTTTTTTTCTTGGTTAAGTTCATATCATTTTCTTTAAGAAAGAGACAGTTGTATAAACATTAACAAATTATTTCAATTTTTTATTAGAATTAGTTTCAATTCAATTTGTTTGGTAAAAAAATTGGTGCAATGTTAGGAAATTTCGGTTGCAATTTTAGGAAAAATTGATGATTTTTTTTATTTGGTTTAAAAAAATATTCGGATCAATTAGTTTAATAAAAAAAATCAGTTTATTTATAGAAAAATTGATTTCATTTTCAGGGTAATTAATGATGTTTTTAATTTTTCTTAATTGAAATTTAGAATTAGATTTAAAATAAATAATGGGTGAAAATCCCTAAAATAAATTACTTTTTTTTCTACTTCAATTTTGTTCAATAAATAAGATCCTTTAAATTTTTTAAAATTTGTTAACTAATAACTAATAATATGCAATTTTGGATAAATTTGAATTTACGTGCCAAAGAATGAAATCAATAATGTTGTACATAAGGAAGTGTTTAATAACATATAAATTTTATTTTCATTAAATTTTTAATGGCATGAGACAATTTAAATACAAAAATATATTTAAAAAATATATATATAAGAAATGCCCCCGTGCATCGCACGGGCACCATACTAGTATATATAATTAGGGGCTATCTTACAATATGACTTGGTGTCGGTGATGAGTACGATGAGCTGAAGCGATTCTCAGAGTGGCTTCTAGTGGCTTGCTAGCACTAGCGGTGGTACAGTCAGTGGATCGAGCGACGGTTGTACAGATATCGACATCCCTGATATTCATTTGAAATCACAAAGAAATCCTATTGCTACTATTGTTGAGAGTACGTACCCGATGTTCAAGAGTTCAGGTGATGACCTTAGTTATCCAAAGGACAGAGCAATGCTGCTACCTCTTACGGTTGATGTTGTTGAGTATGTTAACGAGCACATGAACTCGTTGAACTCTTTTGAGGGAAGGACTTAACTAAGCTAGGACACCGCAAACAAGTTAGGTGCTGGATATGACTCTCTTCAAGATCTTCAAACTCCTGAATTTCTGAATGCGATTTAAGTGTTCGAGACTACCAAATCATAAATTGCACTTGAAAGGTTGGTACTCCAGTGATGCTGTTGAGAAACATTGATCACTCAATGGGGTTGTACTAACTCATTCTAATAATTCGCTTTCCGTGCAAATGCACTGATTGAATACTGGTATGTTTTAAATATGACGACAACAGTACATTTATTATAGCATGATTTTATACAATCTAAACTTCAAATTTTAAAATTCGTGATTTACATCATTATTTAAAATCGAAGAGTAGTACATCCCGAACATCGTTTTTCTCCTTTTTTATATAAAACTAAATTGAATTAAATTAAAGTTAATTAATGATAAATTATAAATTTTTAACACTTGAAAAATGGTATAAGCACAAGAAAATTGGAAATATTGTAATATAGGCCCAAAATGGTAATTTTGTTATAAGCAAAAGAAAAATGATACACAGAAAAAAAATTGTGATATAAGCACAAAATAATGAAGAAAAATATTTATGCTATTATATTGTAAAGGTTGCAATAAGTTAGATAACCACTATTTAAATACCTAATAATTGGTATACTAAATTATGAATCAGTCAAAAATATTTAATTAAATTAATTTTAATATTAACGATAATATTAAACAAAACAAAACAAGGCCAAAATAAGAAAAGAGCGAGTTAATGGTGGTGCCCTGATGTGGTTGTTTACAGAAAGGCAATGGACCAACAAATCAACAATCCCAATACTTGAAAAAACAAAACAAGTTAAAACGGGTCTGTTTCCACTCACATGCAAATCCATCCAAATGGCCTTACATCTTTTTCAAAGATATCACTTTCACACTTCCCATATCACTCTGCACTTTAAATAAGGCCAAAATATATTAAAAAAAGCGTATGGTGTAAAGTACAGCCTATTCCCATTGTTTTGGTTGTCCATATTATTTAATAATTGTGCCGTGCCTTAATAAAAATAATTCCTTCTCTGGCAAAACCAGAAAGCTCCACTAATCTGAATGAGTAGACTAATAAAGCACTTGAAAATTAAGTAATATAGAGGGTTGG